CAACGGCTGCGTGAGGCCAGCTCCAAAGCCCCTTCAAGGCTGGGGCTTTGCCTTGATACCTTCTGGGCTTGTGAAGCCCTGCCATTGCAGTGTATCAGCAGCTTGTGTTTCGTGCAGCCAGGCCAGGGAGCCCATGCAGGTATGAGCATGCTGCAGACTCAGTTCCAGCTGTTACCCACCAGCACCCCCGAAACTAACTGCAAGGTGGTGGCAAGGTGAACATGAGTCACCCTGCGCGTGTGTCCTAGGTGAAGAGTGTCACACATGCACCCTGTCACCAAGCGCTGAAGAAGTCAAATCCATGGATTAGACACAGGCTGTGAAACGAAGACCCATGAAGGCAGAAGGAAATCACCCCCTCATGCCAGGAGGGGCATTTTGGAGCAAGGGAATTTGTCCACAGAGCAGAGAGCACTGGATATGCAGTACATCAGCGTTGCTACTGGTTCCTGCTATTCAGGTCCTCCACATCTGCTGACCAGCCTGGGGCCATGATTTCATCCGTATGTCTCAGTATCTCTGCAGGAAAAGGGGATGATGCTACAGGCCCCGCTAAGCACTGCTGCAGGATGACTTGTACAGCAACATTTGGCCACCAAATGGAAGATGCAGCCGGTGCGTAAGCCATGCACATTGCTCGGACGGCCCAGGGGTGCAGGACAGTACCTGGCTGTGCAAAATACAAGCCATCCGGGCAAACCTGCTGCATCAGACTTCTTAGAGCCAGTCGACAGCGGGCAGCAATGGCTGCATGAGGCCAGCTCTAAAGCCCCTTCAAGGCTGGGGCTTTGCCTTGATACCTTCCGGGCTTGTGAAGCCCTGCCATTGCAGCGTATCAGCAGCTTGTGTTTCATGCAGCCAGGCCACTGAGCCCATGGAGGTATGAGCATGCTGCAGACACAGGTCCAGCTGTTACCCACCAGCACCCCCGAAACTAACTGCAAGGTGGTGGCAAGGTGAACATGAGTCACCCTGCGCGTGTGTCCTAGGTGAAGAGTGTCACACATGCACCCTGTCACCAAGCGCTGAAGAAGTCAAATCCATGGATTAGACACAGACTGTGAAACGAAGACCCATGAAGGCAGAAGGAAATCACCCCCTCATGCCAGGAGGGGCATTTTGGAGCAAGGGAATTTGTCCACAGAGCAGAGAGCACTGGATATGAAGTACATCAGCGTTGCTACTGGGTCCTGCCATTCAGGTCCTCCACATCTGCTGACCAGCCTGGGGCCATGATTTTATCCGTATGTCTCAGCATCTCTGCAGGAAAAGTGGATGATGCTACAGGTCCCGCTAAGCACTGCTGCAGAATGACTTGTACAGCAACATTTGGCCACCAAATGGAAGATGCAGCCGGTGCGTAAGCCATGCACATTGCTCGGACGGCCCAGGGGTGCAGGACAGTACCTGGCTGTGCAAAATACAAGAACAGGTATGAGCCCAGCCCCATGCTCATCCCACTCTGCCAGCTCTATTCCCTCCTGCACGCAGTATGAGATGTGCTCAGTGAACAGAAGGAACTCACCCAAACAAGGTAAGATTTATCCCAGGTTGACACGCCACTGACCAAGCTCAGCTACCCTTCAGGCCAGGGTGAAACAGTGACCAGGACTTACTGCCACAGCACCCTGCATTCGCCTCAAAGCCCTGTGGCTTCCTCCTGCTCTGCTGCGCAGGTACAGCTGCTGTCCTGGCCACTGCCCACAGTGCCTCCCGGGCTCGAAACCCTGCTACCTTGTGCTCCAGAGCGGGACCGACACAGGCAGGGTCCTCAGAGAGGCTTTCCTGGTGGCATCCAGCCACCTCACAGAGAAGACCACGTCTGCCCTCACAGCAGTGTTGGACTCAGCTGGGAGCAGGGTGGGCATGAGCTGGCACCATCATGGGAGGTACACCGGCGTGGCTACGGGGCCCTGCCATTCAGGTCCTCCACATCTGCTGACCAGCCTGGGGCCATGATTTTATCCGTATGTCTCAGCATCTCTGCAGGAAAAGTGGATGATGCTACAGGTCCCGCTAAGCACTGCTGCAGAATGACTTGTACAGCAACATTTGGCCACCAAATGGAAGATGCAGCCAGTGCGTAAGCCATGCACATTGCTCGGATGGCCCAGGGGTGCAGGACAGTACCTGGCTGTGCAAAATACAAGAACAGGTATGAGCCCAGCCCCATGCTCATCCCACTCTGCCAGCTTTATTCCCTCCTGCACGCAGTATGAGATGTGCTCAGTGAACAGAAGGAACTCACCCAAACAAGGTAAGATTTATCCCAGGTTGTCACGCCACTGACCAAGCTCAGCTGCCCTTCAGGCCAGGGTGAAACGGGGACCAGGACTTACTGCCACGGCACCCTGCATTCGCCTCAAAGCCCTGTGGCTTCCTCCTGCTCTGCTGCGCAGGTACAGCTGCTGTCCCGGCCACTGTCCACAGTGCCTCCCGGGCTGCGAAACCCTGCTACCTTGTGCTCCAGAGCAGGACCGGCACAGGTAGGGTCCTCAGAGAGGCTTTCCTGGTGGCATCCAACCACCTCACAAGAAGACCACGTCTGCCCTCAGCTGGGAGCAGGGTGGGCATGAGCTGGCACCATCACAGCCCAAAAGAGCTGCAGGACAAACAGGGAGGGCAGAAAACACCACAAGACTGTGAAAAGCCTTGACGTTCAGCGTGGCTGGGACCACACAGACACGACAGGGGCTGGGTTACACAACAGCCTGTTGGGAAGGCTGCCCAGTCTGTGTGGTCCCAGCCACGCTGAACGTCAAGGCCTTTCACAGTCTTGTGGTGTTTTCTGCCCTCCCTGTTTGTCCTGCAGCTCTTTTGGGCTGTGATGGTGCCAGCTCATGCCCACCCTGCTCCCTGCTCTTGCTGGAGGCTCAGGAATCCGCAGGGGCCATTCCCTGTTGCTGGGAAGTCTGGCTACTGAAACTACGACAGCGTCAGCTAGAAACACAGCCCCTCCCCTGGGCTCTCCAGCAGCTAACGCCATCGCTGTCGGGCATTTGGTCATCCCCGCTGCCTGCAGGTCAGCATCCAGCACGAGCACCCCCCACACCACAGGCCTGGGCCCCCGCTGGAGGAGAGCAGCTCTGGGAAGTGGCATGCCAAGTGCCATGTTCGTTACAGTGAGATACGGAGCCCAAACAAGGTAAGATTTATCCCAGGTTGTCACGCCACTGACCAAGCTCAGCTGCCCTTCAGGCCAGGGTGAAACGGGGACCAGGACTTACTGCCACGGCACCCTGCATTCGCCTCAAAGCCCTGTGGCTTCCTCCTGCTCTGCTGCGCAGGTACAGCTGCTGTCCCGGCCACTGTCCACAGTGCCTCCCGGGCTGCGAAACCCTGCTACCTTGTGCTCCAGAGCAGGACCGGCACAGGTAGGGTCCTCTTTTTCGTTAGCCGGCCTTCCCAGCAACGGGGAATGGCCCCCGCAGATACCTGAGCCTCCTCCAGCCAAGAAGTGGGTGAGGGAGGGTAGTGCAGGGGCTGGGCTACACAACAGCCTGTTGGGAAGGCTGCCCAGTTTCTGTGGCCCCAGCCACGCTGAACGTCAAGGCTTTTCACAGTCTTGTGGTGTTTCCTGCCCTCCCTGTTTGTCCTGCAGCTCTTTTGGGCTGTGATGGTGCCAGCTCATGCCCACCCTGCTCCCTGCTCTTGCTGGAGGCTCAGGAATCCGCAGGGGCCATTCCCTGTTGCTGGGAAGTCTGGCTACTGAAACTACGACAGCGTCAGCTAGAAACACAGCCCCTCCCCTGGGCTCTCCAGCAGCTAACGCCATCGCTGTTGGGCATTTGGTCATCCCCGCTGCCTGCAGGTCGGCATCCAGCACGAGCACCCCCCACACCACAGGCCTGGGCCCCCGCTGGAGGAGAGCAGCTCTGGGAAGTGGCATGCCAAGTGCCATGTTCGTTACAGTGAGATACGGAGGCGCATCGGGAAAGCACCAGCTTTAACTCGTCTCTGGGGCCGGCTGGTCACCAGGACCATCTCGATCACCAGGTGGTGGCCCCACGAGGGGCAGGGAGGGACATGGCACCTTGATGCACAGCAATGCCCAGCAGTTAGGGAACAGGGCAGGAGAGGTCTGCCAGGGCACATCAGATGAGGCAAAGGATGCTGTTTTAAAAAAAAGGGATATCTTTAACCCCTACACAATGAATCACAGAGGATATAATACATATAAAAAAATACAATATACTACTGATATATATGTAGTATATGTTGTTATATAAATATGTGCATAATTATATACCACTTATATAATATACATGTTTGTGTATTTACATATATTTTGATACAATATATGTTTTATAAATTATATATATGTTTTCTACATAATATAAAAAAAAAATCTCTGGTTAGTTGCCATAAACTCCTTTATTTCCTTTTGCAATGCAATTTTTTAAATATCAAATTTTCAAAAACAAACCGTCCTGTTTTCTGCCCAGTTCTGCTTTCAGACACTTTAAGACTTGTCTCAAAAAACTACAACCACAATGAATCGCAGAGGAAAAACATCCCAGCAGAGCCACATTCTTAGCAGGAAGTGAGGCCAGACGCAAGGATGAGTTTCCAGCCTTGCAGCTCTGGGAAATCATTGAAGGGGCCTCTGCTCACCTAAACACAACCAGAAGACCCATGGGGCAGAAGTGACAGCTGCCAGCAAAGCTCCTCTGCTCCCGGCTGTGTGGAAAGGGCTCCTCCGGCTCAAATCCTGGCTCTCAGCTTCAGAGAGCAGATATCTGCACACAGGTGGGAGGAAACAAGTAGATCCTGGCCTGGCCTTGCCCAGTTGGCCAAGAGCCTTTGCCTGACCCCAGACATTTGCTGCGGAAGCTGCCAGATGCACAGGGCCCTAAGCCTGTGCTCCCTCTGCTATTTAAATTGGATCCCCAGCTCTGACTATTGATGTGTCAGCCCTGGGGATTTCTCAATCATGACAAACTTGGTGAGAGTTCATAGGCAAAATGCCTCCTGGTGACTCAGCCGCAATCTCCAGCTCTTTCCCCTTGTGACCAGGACAAGTTTGTGAAAGTGGACCAGACAGGGCCAGGGCTCACTGTTTTTTCCTACTCATGTTTGATGAAACAAAGTCGAAGGACAGAGACACTTCATGAATTAGAACCACTCTCCCCAAATCAAAAACTTCATCCTCACTCCTAACCTGGAGCACTCCCGGCACCAAACACCAGCAGACATAGCTGTAATAGGCAGCTCAAAGCCCTGCTGATGGCCACGCGGGGATCCTACCTTTGCTGGCCACAATACCAGGCAGTTCTCAGCCCCCTGCTATGCCTCAGCTGTTCCCTGTCATGTCTGCAGTGCCCCCAGATTCAGGGTGACCATACTAGTATCTCAGGTCTCATTCCCTGTCTGCAGCCAACTGCCCAGAGATGGTGAACCTGCAATGTTGCGTCCTGATCCTCACAGCTCACCTGAAGAGGAAGTGTCACTGCAGGCCTGAAGGTACGAGGGCTCCTGAGCAGCAGTCACCAGAGGGACTGGCACTCACCCCTAGAGAAGTGGCAGAGGGTAACAAACAGGTCCTACAGGAATCCCAGGTCTTGCCAAAAAAAAGGGAAAGGGGCAACAAACCTTCACCCCTCTAGACCTCTCTTCAAAGCATCACTTACCAAGCAAAACACCTCTAAACCCCACAGGCTCATGCTGGCTGCACAGGGGCGCATTGGACTTTCTTCACCACATCTCTCTCCTTCCATACTGCATCAATCTTCCGGATGAAACAGGCACCCTGATGAACCTGAGCAAATTGGAAAATCCTGCATCTGAATTTGCCAGTAAATAAAGGGAGCGCTACATCCTCATTAGAGTCGCCTGTAAGTTCCTCAGTGAGACAGCACAGTTCAGTCTCTGCACCAAGAACAGTCTGCTTTGGGCGGAAGAGGGGGAGGTGGTGTCCTACAGATCAGGAAAACCCTGTCAACTCCAGGAAACAAAGATGCAGCTTTGGAGAGGGGCTCTATTCAGCAGTCACTTGGACACAGCACAGTACCTCTGAGGAGACAGAAGCCAGCTCACATGAAGAGCTAGAGCTGAACCTTGTGTTTGTCCAAAATAGCTGCTCTGGCAGAGGAACCATTCCTGGGCAGAGCCACTTGCCCCAGTTACAAGTCTTGACTTCAGTTTTCAGTCAAGAGAGAGATTAAACCATTTCTCCCATTCTGCTGGCAGGAAGAGAAAGCTCTGAAGCCACCCACTATGAATCTTTGCTAGAGAACCTGGGGAAACACTACCCTGACCTAGCAGGTAAGAGCCAGGCATCCACCTCACCTCCACAGAGTAGCCAGGGGTGCAGGCATGACTCCCCTCCCCACCACAGAGGATGCATGGGACCATCCTCTGCATTCCAGTGTGCCCCCTCACAACACTGAGCTTCAGGACTGGTTACAGCTGTGGGTAGCAAGTGAATTCTGGCACCAAGAGAAGGTACAAGCAGAAGCCAGAGCTGGTTTGCAGAACCCCTCCTAGTTAGTGTGACATCAGGCACCTGCTGCTCTCCCACCCCAGAGCAGGCATAAGCCCCTCCAGCTGAGAGGGGTCCAAAGCAAAGAGGGGACATTTTCTTGGGACAAACAAGGTGAAGAACAGGAGAGATCAGGAAACCCTGAAGTCCATCTCCCAGTCTGTAGTCTCACAGGCTGGCACAGCCTCGCTCAAAACACCAAGGGGCAACTGACCAATGCTGAAATAAAACATCTAATTCTGGGGTGAATCGCTCCACAGATCAGCTGCAGCAGCTCTCAGCAAGCAGCCAGGGGAGAGACCAGCGGAGAAGGGGCTCCTTGCAGAGAAGGGCTCAGCCCCTCACCACCACCCCAGCCAGGCCCACCCCACAGAACAAGAACTCAGAGCTCAAGGGCACCCCTAGATGAAGAATGGACCCGAAGGGAAGAGATCCTTTACTGGTTACAAATGCAGGGCAGCCACCACCATGCTGTACTGGCCCAAGCACTCACACCTGCTTCGCAAGAATCCTCTGCTTCTTCACTGCTCATCCTGGGATCCCCCTGCTCTGCTCAGAGGGTCACACTACTGCATCCAGAGCTACAGCTTGACAAGCCACACAAATCAGGTAACTACAGCCAGGCACAGGCAGCAGCCTCCTGCTTCAAAGGATAATTTATGTGCCTGAAGCATGGCCTGCAACCCCAAGTCACAAGAAACTGCACGTCCTTTCAAGCCACCTGCACTGGCAACTGGAGGAACATGCACCCGCATCACTGGATGGGTCTGCCTTCAACACCATCACCATGCTGGCAGAGGCCTTCTACAGACTGTCCACTGCAGTCACCAGGAAAAGTCACTGAAGAGATCCAGAGTCTCCACAACTCCTGAAACAGCATTGCCAACACTTTGCCAAGATGGGTCAGAAGACAGCACACACCTGCTGTAGGTGCTCCTGAGGCTTCTCCAACCAGACCAGCACACACTAACATCAGTCCAATATTTATTTCTTAAAAGGAGTTAGTTAAAACAGCTTAGTTACAGTGGTTCCTACCTGCTCACTCTGGGGCAGCTCAGCACACACAGCCCTCAGGCTTTCAGTCTCTGGCACCGACTTTTTTCCTTGGCTGTCTCTCAGGGGAGCACAAGGCACCACAGATAAGGCCAGGCACAGCTCAGGGCATTATCTACCACCAAGAATTTAGGTCTTGACATTTAGAAGCAGCAGGACTTCCAACACCAGCCTCCAGTATCTGCTGCCAGCTTTTGCCATCAAGACCTGGATTTCCTCACAGATCCAGGCAAGGGGCTTGGATCTTGCCCAATATTCAACAGCTGGTGGTCAGCAGTTAACAGATTAATTCTGCCATGAAAATTCAGCAGTTAAGCATCTGAAAGTGTCATGGTTTCGCTGCTGTACCACTAAAGCTCTAGCTGAAGCCTCAAAATTTTCTTTCACACCAACATGCAGAGCAGGGTCTCCTGCTAGAGGCCAGTCTGCAGGCAGCACTCATGAGACTATTCTGCTATAGTGACTGTAAGAAGAAAGCAGCTCCAAACTTAACCTTGATGCTAGTGACCTTGAGAACATTACATAACCCACTAAGGTTTTTAAGTAAGATCAGCCAACTGCACCCAAGTCACAGGCAGACAGGTCGTATTTTCTTAGCCTCAGGGTCAGAACAGCTCTTCAGGAAGAGGATATCAATGGAAAAAGAATTTGTTACTGAAAATACCCCAGGACACATCTCAGATTACATCTCTCCAGCTCCTCCTCTGCGTGGACTACAGCAAATCCAGTCTCAGCTCTGTTGTGGATCCACTTTTGCCAAGTCATGCAGCCACAGTCCTTGCTAGGCTGCACCTCCTGTTTACAGGAAATACGCGATTGTGCCTTGTCCCATCAAGTGGATGGGATAGTTAACATTTTGGTAGCTTAATATTAGCTTGAGAATTAAATAAAGAACATGCACAAGTGATAAACTCCTTTATTTCTCTGTAATAAATACAGCACTACCTGAATTTCAAGTTCCCACAGGTCCAACCATTCCTTTCCTTTTCTACTAGTGAAGTGAATTATCACTAGAAGACTCCCAAGCTGGTCAGTCTGTTCCCTCCAGCTCATCCCCCATCCATCCTTCCACTCCCTGTGGGCAGTGGGACACAACACCTACAGGGGAGAAAGCACAGGTTCAGCATTATGTGCATGTTCCAGCAGCTGGAGTTAATAAAAGCTCTCTTACCTCAGGTGACCACATCAAGGCACAACTACTGACATATGCTTTCAACAGATGCAGCAGGAACTCGGGAATCAAGCATGGAAAGCAGCAGGCTTCTCAGGGCAGCAAGAGAGGAACCTCTAAGAGTGCACTTACAGCCTCCTTGCTTTCACAGAGAGGTGGCCAGGATCATTTCTCCTGCCCTTTCCCATTCCCTTCTGCTTTCCAGGACACAGGAAAGGCAGAACTGTTTCTTATTTAAAGCCTTGAAGGGCACTATAACCTCTGCAGATTGCTTCTGCAACCTCTGAACCCTCTCAGGTGTTCTCCTGGCAGCAGTTCCCTCACAGGTCAGCCCTCCTGGGTCAGGGCACAGACTCACCATTGCTGTACTTGCACTGCTTCAGAGCCTCGTTGAAGCCCTCACACAAGGTCAGGTCCCTCTGGTTGGTAGCACATTCCAGGAACTGCTTCATCTCATAGTGGCAGGGTCCGTAGGGCGACTGCTGGTGCAGGGGCTGCTGCCCAGGCTCCTGCCG